TTCAAAGGCCCAGCCGGTGGGATCAAGGATCGCTTGTCCGATCGGCAAGCAGTGATGAAAACTTCACACCTCTCAATTGCTATCCTGTCTGATAATGACATGCATCAGTCTTACTTATCCAATTACCACCAGTGCTTGCCTTTCAAAGGACCACTGTTTGACCTATCAAAAACAGAAACGTTTGAACATCTCCCTTGCTTCCATCCTCAGCCCCACCCACCAATGCCACCCCTTACCGCCATCATTGTAACAACGTACGATCAGGGCGGCAGGCATTGGTCAATCTAATTTCACACCTCCGGCTTCTTTCTGGACCCAGGAAAGTTCCCGTAGTGGCTGGCTCCTCGAGCACTCTCATGGGCAGTCGTGAGATATCAGACCCACACTTCATTGACCATCTGCATCGCTCAGGGCTCACATGATGGGGTAACATCTACCCCCAAATTGCACCACTACTCCCCCTCCTCGCCCAGTCGCATGATCATAGCATTAGTTTAGAGCCAGCGGATCCAAATTTGCGAGTTTTGTTTCAAATCAGGGCTGAGCGGACAAAGCATTTTCCGTCTTAGACAGGTGAAACCCTCGGAAGGGAGCGGATTTTTCTTTCCGTTTCCGCATTGGACAGGTTTCCGTTTTATACAGGTAATTAAAGAGGAATATTACTTTATATCAAGGGGGGAGCAGGGAGATTCCATTAAGACAGGTTTCTGTTTTATACAGGTTTCCGTTAAGGCAGGTTCAACCGTATATGTGTTTCCTGCAGCAAAAGTTATAATGATATATATGGCAGTTTACCCCCCAATAACAGTTAATCTGCATGTGTGGGTAAAAAAAACCGGAGTGTCTACATACACGGTAACCGGGCACCTAGCCTCAGTGTCTACGTACACAGTAACCGGCAACCGGGCACGTAATCTCAGTGTCATGTACACAGTAACCAGGCATGTAGCCTCAATACCTACGTACACGGTAACTGGCTACCGGGCATGTAGTCTCAGTGTCACCAGAGACTATATAATTAAATACTCTCTGGTGTCACGTACACGGTAACCCGGCAGTTCAGTTTCTGTCATCTGGTGTTGCCTTCATCGCCACCCCTCCCTTGACTGTCTATAAAAAATTTAAAAAATCTCGTGGCGTTTTTCG